AAAAAAGAGTAAATATATTCTTTAGATACATGTTTTATTTATTGGTTAGTTCGCCAAAAAGACATAACGAAATGAAACATCTAGGAAACACACACACTATGATAGCTAATTTTCAACTAAATCTACTTCTGTATAAGTAAAATTCATTCAAATTTCCTAAAAAACAAACAAAAATATGTTACAAATGATCTAAATCTTCACTAATAATGTCCTCGAGATAGTCTCTGAGACTATTACGAAATCGTTCGTCTTTTATATTTTCGCGAAGTTGTGCAGGGGTGTATTTATGATCGAGCCAAATCAGCATGTATAGATGCAATGAGCCACGTCCTTGACTCTCTACTGTCCCAAAGTACGCCTTGACTGATCCCAAGACTTTTCCACCTGAAATCATTGTTTCGAGAACCGTTGTAATGAGTCGGTGAAAAACTTGGCTGTTGCCACAGGATGAGATGCAATAATTTCAGCCCTTTCATAAGTAGATGGAAGATTGTTTGGGATGATAGCATCCAAATCAAGATTAACTCCAGCAAAATAGAGAGCTACACGACTGTTAATATTCGCAGGATTGATGGTAAGAAAGATGCTTGGCAAGCCTTGATTGAAAATTAAACCATGAATTTGGTTGCGCAGTGCGGATCGAGAGTGTGCCGAACCCATTACTTTCCCTCCGACTGCTTTGACTTGACTCAAAAGTGCATTGACTTGTGGATTATGGCTTGATACACTAATTTTGTTCTTCTCAAAATCACTCAATACTCGTTTGATGTCACCAGCATTCAGTGACACGATCTGATCGGCTGTCTTACTAAAAAATGGTTTTAATGTCATTAATCGAGCCTGAAGACAGGCTTCTCGTCGTTGTAATATATTAAAGGCGATAAATATAAAAGAATGATGTTCTTCAAAGCGGCGATCGTGATAAGAAAGTAGGTACTGAATTTGTTTTTTGAATGAGATCTTTACTGGTCGAGAAGCATCTTCGAAACCTCCCGTTCCATAAGGAAAGAGTGTTGGATAGAGACCAAGCAACAGAGTCGGATTGTTATATTCATTGGTAGGAGCACTTCCTCTTGGAATCATATGAATAAGATCGTCGTCCTAAGTTTAGAAAGAAAAATAAAAAATTAAACATAAAAAGGCTTCACTCACAGTGTTGGTTTCAGATAAATCGACAGATTGCTTGTTTGCATCGATTCGAAGTTTGCGAAGCATCTGATTATTAATATCTTTTATTGATACAGATGTACCATTGACGTCTAGAACACCACTTGGATTTATAGGAATAAAGTCGGATGTGGCTTGCTCAGACATAGCTTGACTACTAGTAAGGGGATCTTCGGTATATCCCTCTCTTTCAGCATGAGCATTTTTATCATCTAATATATAATCGAGTGTTTCCCAAATGGATTCAGGAACATCATCATCAGGAAGAGTGGCGATAATGTGCTTGTCGAGAGATATATGGTTATACAGAACATTATTCTCTTTGAGCCAAACAAGCGCATTGAGAATCCGTAGTCGTCTAACGGACAGAATTTTGCGAAGATGATGACGAGATGGCATAGAAGATCCGATAAAAATAATTTTGATCGAAGCAGAAAGTTCATTTGGAGATAAAGGCAGACTGGTGGCAATGTTCGAAAGATTTTGCGGAAAAGTAATGCAGTTGCTTTTGAGAGCCGGTTGAGCTGTGTTAGGTGAGTGCCATGGAGAGTGCAATTTGATGATGCAGCTATTGTGGCGATAGAGAGAAATCAACTTTTGCTCACGAATAGTGAGTCCTTTCAATTGATCAGGTACATCACCTATCCACATGCCATTAGCAGGTTAAAACTTTGAAATTTTTCCTTTCGATATAGCCAGCCAGCATTCGTGGCACATTCGACAGTCAGCATCAGGTTGACTTCCCCGTTGTAGTAAACCTTCACGATACAAAATCCGCCCATTTGATATAAGATAGGTAGAATTCTTCAGAGTCAATTTCTCTTGAAATGCTGAAAAACAGAAGCTTCCAGAGAAATCTAAAAGTGTGAAGACTCACCCTGTTCGTTAAAAAAAAACGATTCTGCATCAAAATCTGTATCTTGTGAGTATGCTGATCGAATTCCAGGAATCATTTCATAAAGATTGTGATGAGGCTTAAGAAGAGTATCATTAATATTAGAAAGCAGTACATTATGCACTGTTTTTTCATTGTGTCGCGAATTGCACACTACGCATACTTGTTCCCGTAGGCTATTCATCGACATTCACTTGTTAAATTCAATGAGACATTTTTCTTTGACTTCCTGAGAAATGGGAGCTGGCCATGTCATTCCATGCGGATTATTTCGTCTTTCCATGGTACGGTGTTGACGGCGTCGACTATCACTTCTGATAAGCGCGGTTCTCTCTTCACCTGTCTCGTTACTTCTACGTGTACTATTAAGCACTTGCTGTTGGTCCAGTCGATGTCGATGTTGCTCAGTTGTCTCATTACTTCTGCGTATGTTATTAATCGGTTGCTGTTGATCTAGTCGATGTCGATGTTGTTCAGTTGTCTCGTTACCTCTGCGCGTAGTATCAATCACTTGCTGTTGATCTAGTCGATGTCGATGCTGTTCAGTTGTTTCATTATTTCTACGCGCCTTATCAATCACTTGCTGCTTATTTAAACGTTCTCGTGATGCATCACCGCTTTCTGAGCTGCATTTTCTACGGGCGGCAATACGCTTCTTTTCGTTTCGCCTTGCTCTTTCTTCTGACGTTTCGTTGGCTCTTTGAAGTCTTTTTCTCTCGGCGTCTTTTTCTTTCCTTGTTATCGTAGAAGAAGATGCTGTAATTGATTGAATTTCTTTTCGGTTCAGTGGCGACGTGAACTGCGGCATGCGCACAGAAGTCGCTTCGTTGTTTTTTGTTGTAAGCTTTTCAGGAGTCTATATTTTCATTACTAGATTATTTAAAAGTTCGAAAAACACATTTACTTTTTGTTCACTAGCACTCATGTGTTAAGCCAAACTGTGTTGAAGTTTCGTGAATACAGATTAATTATTAAAATCTGAAATTAGAGAACTAAAATTATCTAGACCATATAGAGATAAGTAAGTATTTTTTTGCAGAAAAGCTTTTTTCATTTAGCTTCATCACAACGGAAAAACAATCAGTAACTTATTTAAAGTTATTGTTTTCTTCTGAGTTTACATCTCTCTAAATCAAAACAATGATTCGTAAGTCATTTTTCATTTGAAATACTATTTCATTTTATCCAGACTCATCCGAACAGAAAAACTATCAGTATGTGTTTTTCTTATTTGAAATTACTATTTTCTCTTTAATTAGATTCAATTAAACTACAAAACGATCAGTAAATATATGTTTTCGTCATGTGGAAAGCAGCCAACGTTACTTTATCGCTGTTGCTACATGGTTTCACTATGTATTATTTCATTTTTTTTTAAATCTCAAAATGGGTCAAGCTCGGCAATAGATTGGTAATACGTACTTTTACTGAAGTAAGATATATGCAGTTGAATCGCTTAGTGTGTGTATGAATTGTTTGGTCTTTTAAATGTATTCAACGATAACTTAGAGAAGGAAAATAATAAAATGATAAGTTTCAAAACGAATAGAATACATACTAAATAACGCAATGTCTAGATTCCTATACAAGATGATTGTATTATAGAAGAAAAATTGTTCAGCACAACAAGAGCGAGTAAATTTAACCAAATAGTTCAAAGTGCGAGTGCTCCATGTATTTATACTCCGCTATAGCCGAGTTGGCGTCGGCTTTCTTCTTCTGAAGTCTTTTGATCGCTAATGATCATGATCTGGTAATATTATCCTCTGTTTACTTTATACGATACGCTCGATCCGTACCATCAAACAAAGACAATAACATTCAATTCCTTACTGTTTAGTCTACTCTGTTGTTTTGAAGTCTTGTGCCCGTCATGATGTTAGTATTCTCCTGATATTATCTTTGGTTTATCTTGTATGATACCACTATGTCGGCATCATCACATATAGACAATAACATTCAACTCATCTAATGTTTAGTCTACTCTGGAGTTTTGAAGCCTTGTACCCGTCATGATGTTAGTACTCTCATGATATTATCTTCGGTTTATTTTATATGATACCACTATGTCTTCACCATCACATACAGATAATAACATTAAATTCAACTAATATTTAGTCTATTATCTTCTTTTCAAGTCTTTCAATTCTAATCCTGGCACTAATCCGGTCATCTTATCTTCCTTTCACTCAACACTTCCTTTCCCGTGACATGGGTAAATATCCTTTTATAATTGATTACCAATAAAATATTTGTCGAAAAAAAGTCTCCTTCTATCTCATTCACGGTTATCTATTATCGACAATCTGAAGACACTAGCACACTACTATTATTGTAAAAAAAATTCATAATCAATTGAGAATAAAATCTCTCTTCATTATAACAGCGTCCTGGCGTCCTAGCATCCTCCTGATCGCTATCTATTGTGGATCAGTCATTAGGACGCTAGGACGCTAGTGCTATAGAGAGAAAATTTATAATCGATTGAGAATAAAATCTCTCTTCATTATAACAGCGTCCTGGCATCCTAGCGTCCTACTCATCGTTATCTATTGTGGATCAGTTATTAGGACGCTAGGACGCTAGTGCTATAGAGAGAAAATTTTTAAGAAACCGATAATGAAGAATCTTTTTAAATGCTGGTGTTCTAACATTGTAAAGACGTTTATAATGGACCCCGGATATAGTTGTATGAAAAATATAGAAGCAATGACGAAGGAGAGGCCGTCACCCCAAATAATGCACTGATGGCTTGTAGTGATTTATCTATTTGACTGTAAGCGAAGGAGCACATATATAAAGGCGTGGATGGTTCGGTTTCGTGGAATCATTTTTAGCCGCGTTTCTATTTCAATCAGAACAAATCCTCGTTTCATGCACCGTACGTGGTGAAGTTCTTGTTCTCCTTGGTCAATATGTGGTAGTACCCTATGTTCGAGTGCATAAAAACGAGTGTGAGGGTTATGCTTTTTTTGATTTTGAAATTGTATTCGAATTTAATATTGAAAACCAAATTTAATTCATGAGAATACGTGTCATCCGATCGGAAACGTATGTGAGCGCCTTATCTCGTTGACCGTAATAAATCACCGAGATAGAAGTATCAAGTAAGGATGAGGTCTGAAATTGAAATGGTGATGAGCCGCATATCGTTGAGGGTGAGCATGGCGTATATTCAATTCCTAATAAACGAGCCACTAATAGTTGAGTGAAAATCTGAAGAGGGCATTTGAAAATGGCAGAGAAACTTGAAGTTTCAATTAGATTCAACGTTTGAGTCTGACATTACTACAGTTGATCACGTCGTTTTCAAAACCAACATATCCCTGGCTTTAAAATGACCATGACATATACGAACGATAGCCAGGAGACGTTCGTATATCACATCATCTTCGGAACATTTTGAACGAATTTTATCATGTGCTACGACGACGACTAATGGGATACCAGCTTCTTTTGCTTTGTCGAGGGCGGCTCGATTGTTTATTTCTGTTCGTAATTGATTACGAAAGACGAGAATAGGTGCATCGCACCAGGGTCTCTCTTTCAGCGATTGAACGGTTTTTCCAGAGCCGATAATTCGCGTACAGAGATAGTCAAAATCGGCGCGTGTCGTTTCCCCCAAACGAAGATGATTGAGTAGAGTCAAATACTTTTGATCTTCGGTTCTCATTTGCTGCTTCAACTTCGTGACTGTGTTGATTTGTAGAACCAATGAGCGTCCAACCCCGTA